AGACATTCTTTAAAATTTTTTTTTAATTTTTATTGCAAAGTCAGATATACAGAGAGGAGGAAAAACAGAGAGGAAGATCTCCCATCTGTTGATTCACTGCCTAAGTGGCCGCAATGGCCAGAGCTGCACTGATCTGAAGCCAGGAGCCTAGAGCTTCTTCTGGGTCTCCCACATGGGTACAGGGTCCCAAGGCTTTGGGCCATCCTCAACTGCTTTGCCAGGCCACAAGAAAGGAGCTGGATGGGAAGCAGGACCACTGGGATTAGAACTGGCTTCCATATTGGATCCCGGCACGTGCAAGGTGAGGATTTTAGCCACTAGGCTATCGCACCTTGCCTGACATTCTTAACTCTGTTCTGTTCTGCATGTGCATTCAAGTTCCTAGTGCTGTTTTTAACCACTTCAGCAGTAACATTTTGAATGTAGCTATGCATGGGTACCTCAAATACTTTGTGAAAGATGAAGATGAAAAATGCTTATTTTGGTTAAAAAATACTGACATCCATGTGCACAGGAGATCTCAAAATAGTATATGGAAAATATGTATTATGAAAAAACTGAATTTCAAACTTTTTGCACCAAAAGTACCTTTTAATTATACTCTCCATGGCCTTTTTTGGGGGAAAAAAAAGATATTTATTTGTTTGAAAGGTGCAGTTGCAGAAAGAGATGGAGAGAAAGAGAGATATCCCATCCCTTGGGTGATTCCGCAGATGGCAGCCATGGCCAGCGCTGAGCCAGGCTGAAGCCAGGAGCCTCATCTGGGCCTTCACATGGGTGCAAGGACCTAAGTACTTGGGCTATCTCCTGCTGCTTATCCAGCCCATTATCAGGGAGCAGGATAAGAAGTGGAGCAACCAGGTGTCAAAGCAGCACTGTCATGGGGTACTGCTGCTGCAGGTGCTGTGCGTGATGCTGGCCCTCCCTCCTGTGACCAACATAGAGGTCTGGGTGTAGTGCATGTTCTCTCACCCTGCCCAGGCATCAGTAGCAAGGATAAGCACTGTTTTGACTTCTAACTAATTCTTGAATTTGGTAAAATTTCATTACATATTAAACTGTAATCCTTTCATGTTGGTGAATAGGGTTGCATTGTATCATATCTTCACTAGCTTATTGAGGTAATGTGGACTGCTTCTGTTCTATGGTAATTCTACATAATAATTTAAGGGAGGTCCCTCTACATGTGTTAGCATTGATATAAGCACACGTTTTTCTTGGGTGTATACTCAGGAGAGATTGCTTAGTCATCCTGTATGCATATATTTTCTTTTAATAGGTACTGACAAACATTTTTCCTAAGTGTGTGTACCATTTACAGTCTCTGAGTTGCTATGCTCTCCCAAGGTAATGGTGCTGGTTATGGTGGGGTGGGGCATATCCACCATGCACATTATACATGTGCACACACGTTCATGTTTCACATTTGCTGAGTTCAGACTGAGAGGTGGAAATTGGCCTTCTCAGATGCTTGGAGGTTTAGTAGCAAAATAGTGCTGTTAGAGATCCAAAGGCAAGTGTTAGTTTAATCTAATATTAGTCACAATGAAGCTTAACTATTGAGTAAATGTCTTGTTGTATGGCTTAGGAGGAGCATGAATCTCAGCTCTTTAAGTGTGGTAGGTAATTCACCAACTGAAACCAGAAGGACAAACTGACTCAAGCAAAGGTTCATGGATCCTGCCTCTGGAAGCATTCATTTGCAACAGGCTAAGCTACATTTATGGCATTTGTGCTTGAGTTCTTTCAGAGTAAGCAATAACTCAATATATCAAATGCTTCTTTGAGTACTCAGCAATGAACATTTTAGTTCTGCAAAAGAACGTCTATTCAGAACTTCAACTTCTTGGGTAGTATGATACTTCAATTAATCTGTCTAGGCCAGAAGGCATTATAATTAATATCAATATTCCTGGTGAAAGGAAAAGAAGTGTGGGAGCGGCATTGTCGTATATGGGGCACAGCTGGCAACTCATAGGTGTGCCAGCTTGTGGCCTGGCTGTACCACTTTGATCCAGTTCCCTGCTAATGACCTGGGAAAAGCGGTGGAAGATGGCCAAGTACTTGGGCCTGTGCTAGCCATGTGAGAAGATCCAGATGAAGCTCCTTGCTCCTAGCTTCAGCTTGGCTCAGCCCTGGCTGTTGCAGCCATCTAGGGAGTGAGCCAATAGATACGAGATCTCTGTGTCTCTCCCCCCCCCTCCTGCCTCCACTCTCTGTAACTCTTTCATAATCTTTTAAAAAATTGTATAAGTCGAGAGCTCTTAGAAGCAGTCTAGGAAAGCCAGGTAGGCTGGGCTTTAAATAATAGCTTTTTCTGCCCTTTGGAGCAGAGCTGTTACTGGTCCATTTGTTTATTCATACACTAATTCAACAGACTTATTGAGCACCACAGGCCAAGATGCAACATGGATCAGTACAAAGGCCTTACCTAATCAGGGGGATAAAAGGCAAATAAATAAATAATAAAAATAACAGTCATATATGTCATATGGTATCTGAGAGGAAAACTAAAGTCAGACATGAAATGAAAGCTGTTGTTTGCCTCTCAGTGACCTTGAACAGGGACCTGAAGGATTGAGCGGGACTGATATGTACTGGAAGAAGAGTGGAAGGGAGGGAAGGGCTGCCCTGTGGGCCAGAACACAGGAAGGAAGCCTCTGTAGTTGGAAGAGACATCGTAAGACAAGACCAAAGGGCTGGTAGGGATCCTCATCAAATAATGCTTCAAGGAGGCTATCCTAACTTTAGCTTTGGATTTTGAACAAAAAAGTGACAATTTCTTTTCTTATTACCTTAAATTTGGGAACAAGAGTAGAGGTAGGAAAACCAGGTAAGAGCAACCAAGATAAAACCAAATGGCATACATGTTGTATTTTATGGATTTGTCAACAACACTGTGCCGTCTTAGTAAAGGTTGTAATTGTTTCCTATATAAGATTGCTTGAGCAATATCTGGTTCATATGAACCATATCAGTAATATGCAAATTAAGTCATGTGATAGCTATTTAAAATAAGTTCTATATTTAATGCTCTTTTTTGTTTACCTACTACTAGCATTTTCTCCTGGACAGGATTCCTTCTCTCTTCTTTGTTCTTCCTTAATGATATTGTACCTACCCTTGAGCTTCATCTGTCACACCTCCCTTTTCGTCCTCTGTATTGTTGTCTTACGGTCTCCAAAATCCATCTCCTCTTGTTCAAACTGTAGTTTTAAACCTTCCTTTCATCCTATAGTGAGACAGTAGGTCCTCCTGGAACGCTCAGACAATTCAGAAAAATAATAGATTTTTGCGTGGGGACCCAGATTCAGGTTGGTTGATTTTTGTTCTTCCTTGTGCTGACTGTAGGGCCTTTTACAATTTTTGATCCTGTTATCACTCTATAAGCCACCACTTTCTACATCATTTCAGTAAAAATGCTTTACTTATGCTTTACTTCTCTTCTTTGGCCATGTACATTTAATCTGTCACTTTTGAAACACTTCCGGAATCTCTCTTCCCCTAACCCTACCCCAACGGTCTCCTTTCTGTGCTATTGCCACCCAACTCGCCTCTCTGCATCTACTCTGGCCCTCTTTCAGCCTGTTTTCCATAGAACTACACTGATGTTTAAAACATCATCTGGATAGTATGACTTCCTTGCTTTCAGCTGCCCAGTACTTTCACCCGATTTTAAGGGAAACCCAAACTCCTTCACTCTCCCTTCCTGCCTCCTTTTGTTTGACAGATAACTCAATTCAGGGCCGCTTGGGCCTCGGTCCGGCTGCTCGGCTGCTCTCTGCTAGGACTGCTCAGGCAGAGATGACTTTCTTCACCTTACAGCAGCTTTAATTGTGCCTTGCCTCCTAGCAGTTGGTACTGTTTTGTTTTTTTCCTAAGGCTTACTGCTATCTGAAAATAGCCTGCTTATTGACCCACACCCACCCCTGGCCCCTGGGGAAACAAAATGGTCTTGTATAGGGCCCATTTCCTAGCAGTGTTTGGTTTGTAGAAGCCATGCAGGAAGAAACCTTCAATGATTGAATGAATGAATACCAACCCACTTTTAACGAGAGATAAATCCTTGTATTACCTACAGGAGACAAAACCAATGTTGTTTTTATTTAATATGAAGACTACTGGTTTTCTTTTCATTTAAACCCTCATACTGACTGAATATTAAACACCTCTGCATGTGCTGGAAATGATTAAATAAAATCCTAATGCAATCACAGGATTTAACTTTTATTTATATATTATTGTTTTCCATGCTACAGTTCCTCCTAGCTCTCCTCTCACCAGGTTCCCCTGTTTATTACAATAGTGTAGTCCTTTAGTAACAATTACAAGTCCAGCCTTCTGCTGTTTAAGTGTGTCGTGGCACTGTGTGTGTGTAGGCAATGAAAGAAAATCTAGCATCCCGTTGTCAAGGTATATTTAACTGTTTCACTGGCAGTCCTCCTTTATACTGCAAGGCATCTTCACTTCCCGCTCTGCTGTTATTTCCCTTTATCTCCCCAGCAATTGTGCTGTTTGCTCTGCACATTCACAGCCTAGCGCAGAGGACCATCCTCTCTGGTTCTTCAGTTCTTTCTTGTCTCCCACACTCTCTGCTCCGGCCTGCAGCCAGGCAGGGAGCTTTTCAGCTGCTGTTAACCCCACGTTTGAAAGCCTGCGGAGGTTCCACAGCTCTAAGATTCACACCGTTATCTGTCCGGCCAAGTCCGTCTTGGCTACCGGTCGGCCTCGCCCATCCCTCCTTAGAAGATTCTACACCCTCTGCGATCCGCTTCCTTGCGGACGCCTCCCCTGGTCAGGCCGGACCCCACTCCCTCACCAGACCCACCAGGGGCGTCCCTGCTGGAGCTCCTGTGCCTTCTGCGAACACTGACGTTCTCGGCCATTCGCCGGGGCACGCTCGCCCCGGCCGGGCCACCGCCCGCCGCCCCTCCTCCGGCGCCCTGGCGCCACGATGACGTCCTCAGCAGGCGCCGCGGGGCCGGCCGGCGCAGGGCGCCTGCGCGCGCGGGGCGCGCCTGCGCCGACGGCGGCCCGCTGACAGATTGGCGGCGGCGGCCCCGGACTGCGGGCATGGGCGTCCGCGGGCCCTGACGGAGCACCGCCCCCGCCCGCCTGGCCGCCGACATGGCTCAGGAGAAGATGGAGCTGGACCTGGAGCTGCCTGCGGGCGCGGCGGAGGGCGGCGGCGGCGGGGCCCTGCGGAGGTCGAACAGCGCCCCCCTGATCCACGGCCTCAGTGACACCTCGCCCGTGTTCCAGGCCGAGGCGCCGAGCGCCCGCAGGAACAGCACGACGTTCCCGAGCCGCCACGGCCTGCTGCTGCCCGCCTCGCCGGTCCGCATGCACAGCAGCCGCCTGCACCAGATCAAGCAGGAGGAGGGCATGGACCTCATCAACCGCGAGACGGTGCACGAGCGCGAGGTGCAGACCGCAATGCAGATCAGCCACTCGTGGGAGGAAACTTTCAGCCTGAGCGACAACGACGCCGAGAAGGCGGCGTCCCCGAAGCGCGTCGACTTCATGCCGGTGTCGCCGGCGCCGTCGCCCACCCGCGGCATCGGGAAGCAGTGCTTCTCGCCCTCCCTGCAGAGTTTCGTGAGCAGCAACGGATTGCCGCCGAGCCCCATCCCCAGCCCCACGACCCGGTTCACGACGCGGCGGAGCCAGAGTCCCATCAACTGCATCAGACCCAGCGTGCTCGGACCCTTGAAAAGGAAATGTGAAGCGGAGACTGAGTATCAGCCAAAGAGGTTCTTCCAGGGCATCACCAACATGCTGTCCTCCGACGTGGCCCAGCTGTCAGATCCCGGCGTGTGCGGCTCGTCCGACACCCTGGACGGGAACGGCAGCAGCGCCGGCTCGTCCTGTAACTCCCCAGCGAAAGTCAGCACCAGCACCGACTCGCCGGCGTCCCCGGCGGCCTCCCCGTTCCTGCCCCTGGATGAGCTGCCCTCCAAGTGATTCCCTCGGACTTGGGGCGGGGCTTGGTTAGAGAAACCAAGTTGTTGGAGCAAGCACTGAACTTTGTCAATTCATTGGAAGCTGTTTCCTATATTTGACTCTCCCCTCCCCTACTTTTGTTTTTTTTTTTTTTTTAATTTCCTGAAATGTTATTCTAGAGACCTTCTGTGTCAGGTTCCTGCGGATACCCTTGAATTCAGTGTAGTAATTTTTGGACGTTTTCCTGTACGTGTGTTGAGGCATACATCTTTACGCTGCTAATATGTCTAAATACATGTGTTGTCCCTTGATTTTTTTTAAATAATTGAGAGCTCTATTTATTTATGGGATTATTAAGTTCTGATGAAAAATATAAATGTTGAATTAATCAGCATAGTAAAGTGATGTTTTAAGAATTCCGTAATCCCTGCACACACTAACTTTAATGTTATTTTCAGTGATTGCCAATTTCCGTTTGCTAAAGAACAGTAACTTACCTATTTATAGCTGTTAAAAACTGTTCGATATATCCTGAATGTGGAATCCTTAGGCAGTGGATTTTCTGGGTTCAGAGATGGATAGGAGGGCTGATCAAAGAACAACTTAGGAAAGTTTGCAACAAGTCTGTTAAGTATATGAAAGTAAACATATTTAAGAAAAAACATTTTCTAATGACATTTTAATAGTAATGCTAGCAGGTCGTACAAATATACCTAGTCTACAGAAAATGAAAAATTTCTAATTCTGTGTTCTAACCAGGACGTCTTTTCTCTTGGGTGTAACCCTCAAGGCACTCCGGGACAGTGCCTTGCAGGTGTAAGCTGCTGTAGGTGGCTGAGGTCCGGGTCTAGGGAATGTGTGGGGAGCCTGTCTGACCTGGGTCGGAGGCAGGCAGAGCTCTGTCCATTCATCAGTGTGCTTTAGCACACCCGCTTGTGCCTCGGCTTGAAAATTCTTGCCAATGAGTGGCCAGAGCAAATAGTTTGCGGCTTTTATTTTACTGTCCATTTGTCATCTCCCTGTTTTCCCCCAGATTGGGAAGAGCTGCTATTTTCTTACCAGCAGGTCTTTCCTGCCAGCCTTCCACTCAACTAGGGCACCTTTGGATAGACAAAGGTGCAGTGCGAATAGGGTTCTTGACAGTGAGCACCAGGAGAATTGTGACCTGTTGGAACTCCAGTTAAAGCTGGTGCTGGAGCTGATGACCTTGGAGGTGTCAGTTTGTTAAAAGTTGATGATTTGTGCGAGAAAAATCACCAGAGTCACAGATAAAGCATTGTCTAACTTAGGTTTTCTTTAAGGTAGATTTGTGAAATGTTTTTCTTTTACAATGAAAAAAATGAACAACTTTTTAAAATTCTATACTCGCATAATACCTCCTGTCTTTCCTTAGCCATTTAGGTAAAGACAGACACACACAGAATGGGGTGGGAGAAATATCTAAGAGACCAAGGCAAAAGCACCCAATTAACTTTTCAAAGTTATTGCCTCCAGAGATTTTAACAGCGATGTAGAGTTTTTACAACTAAGAATAAATGGAACTGGTCAAGTCTGGACAGTTGTGTCACGATTCAGTGAGTTACATTAAGGGTCAGATTGTGTCCCCTGTGTAAAACTTTTGGGTGGCGATGTCGGATTCCCAAATTCAAGCCTGTGTGAATATGTCCCACTTGATATTGGGTGCCTTGACCTGCTTCCAGTAGTACTCAACTTCAGCATCTTCGAAACAGAATGCCGTCAACTTCTCACTTGACCCGATCTTGCCTTACCTGAGTTGATGCTGTGCTTCTCATTTGCTATACTAGAGACCAAGGAAGAGTCTTTGATTTGCCCTCTTCCCTGTCGGCTACGTCCAACTTAATCACCAAGTGTATCCACTGTACTGCCAAGATGAATCCCACATTTCTCCCTTCACTGAAATGCTCTTGATTTAACTAGTGTTTTTGCGTAGGTAATCTTCCTTATCCATCTTCTGCAACTTCTTGCGTTTCTTTTTTTTTTTTAAAGACTTATTTTTTTTTAAATTGGAAAGTCAGATATACATATACAGAGAGGAGGAGAGACAGAGAGATCTTCCGTCCGATGATTCACTCCCCAGGTGACCGCGGCTGGTGCTGTGCTGATCTGAAGCCAGGAGCTTCTTCCGGGTCTCCCAAGTGGGTGCAGAGTCCCAAGGCTTTGAACTATCCTGAACTGCTTTCCCTGGCCACAAGCAGGGAGCTGGATGGGAAATGGAGCTACTGGGATTAGAACCGGTGCACACATGGGATCCTGGCGCGTTCAAGGCGAGGACCTTAGCTGCTAGGCCACTGTGCCAGGCCCAGCTTCTAGCATTTCATCTTCACACTGCCTCAGGGCAATCTTTCTAAAATAGACTTGATTTTCACTTTCTGCTTACAAGCGGTAGACCTCTCCAGTTCCTGCTGTTTAGGGAGTGATTTCTCCAGCCTCACGCATATGAAGTGCTTTGTGATCTGGCCATTTGCTAAACTACCTTCCCTTTTCTTCACCAACATCAGACTACTTGATATCCTGTAAATATCCCAGATTCTTTGATGTGTCAGTACTTTCGGGTAGATGGTTCCTTCTACCTGAAATGCATTCTTGTTCTTCCAGGCCAGTGCTTTTCTTCTCTTTATTACAGGTGAATGTCATTGTGAAGCATTATATATTTGCCAATTATTAAGCATTTCAAAATTGTGGGTAGTGATAGAGTAAGAAGAAAATGAGTGTCTTGCACTATCTGTAGTTATTCTTCCCTGCCTGTAGTTTGGCATATATTGTTCAAGATGTGTTTGCTCTTTGTTTCGCATATCCATGCTTGAACTAGCAGGCCATGGGTGCCTTTCTTTCCCCCTAAGTACTCACTGTGTCTACCTGATTTTGATCTCTAGCATCTGCCCCTTTATTTCCATCTTTCCCAGGGCACTTTCATCTTTGGCCTCTGAGACAGACTTGCAACTTGTGCTCACCACACTTGCTCACTTGGCGACCAGTTTGCTTTCTGTAGAGTAACTAAGGTCGTGCTTAGTTAAGGTTTGCAGATCTTCCCTGTGCATCTGCCATTATAAGCTTTGTTTAGGCGTATATTCTGTGCATTAATTCTGGCCTAAGAGGAGAGCTCTGGCCCTTGCCTCTTCTGCTTGTTGGCTTGCTTGCTTTTCTTGTTTTATGATTTTTTTTAAAAGATTTTATTTATTTGAAAAGGAAAGAGACTCCATAGATGGCCACAACAGCTGCGCCAGAACCGGAAGCTCTGTCTGGGTCTCCCTTGTATGTGGCAGGGTGATCAAACCCTTGTATTCTCTTCCGCTACTCTTTCCAGGTGGTTAGCAGGGATTTAGATCAAATCTGGAGCAGCTGGGATGTGAACCAGCACCTAGCATGGCATACTGGCTGGCATCCTTGGTGGTGGCCTAGTGAGCTAGATCACAACCCTGGCCCCACTTGCTTTTGGGGTACATTATATTGCAGGTCCTTTGCCAGATCATGTTTCTTGATGGGATGAATTGTTTGTTTCTAAAAGCGCAGTCTTCTATATAAGATGGTAAATTTTCAATCAGATAAGGTTCTATGTTGCTAAGGGCAGTTTGCATTATGATGGTATTATTCATAAGATCAGTCATTACTCTAGAATGTAAGAGTTTAGCTCGTGCACAACTAACAATTATCCTTTAAAACATTTTTTAAAAAACCCTTTTTGAAAGTTTTTCATGTTTGAACTGTGCGTGAGAAGTCCCAAGACAAATATCAATACTTATTTAAGGTACTGTCTGCCCTACATAAGTTTCTGTATATTTTCCTCTGTGATGTTTGTTTGAGAAAATAATGGTCACAGAACCCCAAACTGCTGGATGGCAGAACCTGTAAGCATATGTAGGAGAGGAATTGTGATTGAGAATAACTGGTGTAAGGTGCCTGCCAGTTGTTCCTGTTGCTCAGATGAGTCATATACTTGAGGCAAAGGGCTGCTCTTGAGATATTTGACAGGGATGAGTGAGAGCCTAAATGTAGGAGGGCAGTAGGACTGAGAAGGCTTTTCCTTATGAAAGTAGAAAACGTGTGAAGGTCGAGGAGAGGTATTAGGCCTGCCGGGTTACAGTGGGAATGGCAGGCTCAGAGAATACACTGGAGTGACCAAACTTGGGGATTGGTTGAGTACTAGGAAAAGGCCAGGGAGTGCGGCCATTAACACTTTCGCTCAATGTTGTCATTGGAATGACTTGCTGAGTGCTGACAAGGGTGGCAAGGGTTCACAGTGGGCAATGGACTGAGCCCCAACAGAGTATACAGACAATGTGCTCTCCTGAATCACCAACTTGGCTGCCAGTTTTGTTGAGAGAAAGGCAACTCCTGTTGCAGGAATTAAGAAACGCCTGGAGGCAGGCAGTTGTGTGTGCACTATGTGGGTCTCTGTACAGTGCCTGGTGTGCTGGGCTGTCACCTCCCATTCCTGTGGCAATGGGTCTCATTATTATCGCCCAGCATGGACTGGCCCAGGCAGCTTCGCTTTACCATCCCTGACTGATGAAACATGCCATGTTCACACTCCCACTGGGCCACTCTGCCCTTCAAAGTGGCCCATCATATTATAAGGTAGAGGGTTTTTATGTAAGAGAATCTTCTTCCATACTGCACACCTTTTAATTCAAGTCCAGCTTTCTGGGAAGTGCAGAACAGGCTTCTCGCTCTCTCTCTCTCTCTCTCTTTCTTGTTTAGGTGATTGCCCTGCCTTCACAGATCAGGAACTCTGCTCCCTTGCTCCTGACTGCTGATTGTACGTTTTAGAAATGTACTTCCTCTGTGAGGTAAAGCCATCATTTCTTCGCAGCCCAGAGTTTCACAAGAGCTGACTTCCTCCAGGGTTGTGTTTGCCTTCCTGGGTGGGAGGCAAGAGATGGACTAACACTGTGAGTTTTTGCCAATAGTAGTAAACTAGTGCTAATATTTCCTGAGCATGTGGTGTGAGAGACCCGGTTTTTAGTACTTTTTCCTGTGAGTTTATTTCATCCCAGTCATGCTGTGGGGGCAGATACTATGAATATTCCCATTTGACTGATGAGAAAACAAATTCATTTTCTCGAGACAGCATAACTTTTCTTTTTCTTTTTTTTTTTTTTTTTTTTTTTTGTTCTCTTTTGAATGTTGGTTGTGGGTTGTATGTTTTTTGGTTTGAGTGGTTTTTGTTTTTTGGGTTTGTTTTCTTGGTCTTATGAATATGTATTCTGATTTGTTTGTTTAACTTCCTTAACTTGGGTTATTTTGCTAGTACTGCCACTTGAAATAATGCTTTTATTTTATTTTTTGTTTAAAGATTTGTTGTTTATTTTTATTAGAAAGGTAAATCTACAGAGAGAAGAAGAGACAGAAAGATCTTGCGTTTGCTGGTTTACTCCCTAAATGGTCACAACAGCTGGAGCTGAGCTGATCCAAAGCCAGGAGCTTCTTCTGTGTTTTCTGTATGGGTGCAGGGTCCCAAGGCCTTGGGTCATCCTTGACTGCTTTGCCAGGCCACAAGCAGGAAGCTGGATAGGAAGTGGTGCAGCCAGGGCACGAACTGGTGTCCATAGGGGTTTTTGGAGTTTGAAGGAGAAGAATTAACCAATTGAGCCATTGCACCAGGCCCAACATTTGTGTTTAGCTTTTTTTTTCTTTTCATTGTTCAAGGTTTTTTTTTGTTTGTTTCTTTGTTTGTTTGTTTTTGTTATATTGTTTTTTATTGATTACATTGCATTATGTGACACTGTCTCATAGGTTCTGGGATTGCCCCAACCACTCCCCATACCCTCTCCCCATGGTGGATTCCTCCACCTTGTTGCAGTATTGCAGTAAATTCAGTTAAGATTCTTTAATTGCAAGCATAGAGTCTAGCATCTTATTGTCCAGATAAATTCAATGGTTTCCTGGGGAGACCATCTCTGGTCTGAAAGCAGAGCTGGTAGAATATCATCCCGATCAATTAAAAGCCACAACATAACATCAACATCAGTTTACAACATTATGGAATTAATTGACAAGGTATTGAGTAACAAATATGTTAAAAAATGGAAGTTCTTAACCGCAACCTCTGACTACTTCATTGACATTTCAATTTTGGTTTATACACAGAACCGGCTGCTATACACCTTAAAATGGCTATAGGGTACTATTCAGCTGTCTCATGACTATTTTTATTTTACCATTCAGCAGTTTATAGTGTTGGAGCTTAATTTTGCTGAACTTGGCAGATTTTGGGATAGTCTAAACTGGCTTATAACTCGAACAAGGCATATGTCAACAGCTGAGGTGCAGGACAGTTTTAGGAGGGGTGTGCAGAGAAATCTTCAATACCTTAGCGAGGAGTAACTAATCTTTGTGTCCTACCTAGTAAGGTATGTGTGAGTCCATGCTGACTGTTTCCTGTCTGGTTCCAAGCTTTCCTTGTTGTTCTCTGTCTGTCTTTTCCAGTGTGTGCGTGTGTCTGTGTGTCTGTGTTTTGGGTGGGGGACTTCGGAGCGACCTTGATAGTCATTGCAAGACAGGGTGGGGATCCAAAGTTAGATGCATTTATTTT